AAATAATACTTTCCTCGTAAACGGGCATTGTTGAGAACAATGAAACTAGTAAACAGATACTGTTTGGAACACAGAAAGAGTACTTTCCTTGTAAACGGGCATTGTTGAGGACAATGAAACTAGTAAATGGGTACTGTTTTGAACACAGAAATAATACTTTCCTCGTAAACGGGCATTGTTGAGAACAATGAAACTAGTAAACAGATACTGTTTGGAACACAGAAATATTACTTTCCCCGTAAACGGGCATTGTTGAGGACAATGAAAGTAGTAAATGGGTACTGTTTTGAACACAAAAATAATACTTTCCTACTGAATGGATAGTGTTGAGGACAATGAAACTAGTAAACAGATACTGTTTTGAACACAGAAAGAGTACTTTCCTCGTAAACGGGCATTGTTGAGGACAATGAAACTAGTAAACAGATACTGTTTTGAACACAGAAATAATACTTTCCTCGTAAACGGGCATTGTTGAGAACAATGAAACTAGTAAACAGATACTGTTTTGAACACAGAAATAATACTTTCCTCGTAAACGGGCATTGTTGAGGACAATGAAACTAGTAAACAGATACTGTTTTGAACACAGAAAGAGTACTTTCCTCGTAAACGGGCATTGTTGAGGACAATGAAACTAGTAAACAGATACTGTTTGGAACACAGAAAAAGTACTTTCCTCGTAAACGGGCATTGTTGAGGACAATGAAACTAGTAAACAGATACTGTTTGGAACACAGAAAGAGTACTTTCCTCGTAAACGGGCATTGTTGAGGACAATGAAACTAGTAAACAGATACTGTTTGGAACACAGAAAGAGTACTTTTTCGTAAACGGGCATTGTTGAGGACAATGAAACTAGTAAATGGATACTGTTTTGAACACAGAAATAATACTTTCTACTGAATGGATAGTGTTGAGGACAATGGAACCAGTAAACTGGTACTGATTAGAATACAGAAATATTACTTTCCTAGTAAACGGACATTGTTGAGAACACTAGAACTAGTAAACGAGTATTGTTTGGGACACACAGTACGTGTGTTACGTAACACTTTTTGTCACAAGGACAATGGGCCAAAACATGTAGAAATCGCACCTCATTCATAGTAAATTATATGCTGCATTCAATCAAAAAACACAAACCTTTTTTCAAATGATGTTGATGATGAATATCATTTCTTTATCCAGGATTATTATTATAGAATCTTCCATACGTTTTTTTCACACAAAAATGAAGACATGTTGCAATGTCTAGTGGTTGTGTTTCATGCATTGAGCCTACAAACTACTGCGAATAACTATTTGAGTATTTGTACATATTCGTACTTTTGATACTGAAGAGTGGATTATGGCCAAAACATACCAAAACATTATATTTAGTGTCTACCATGTAACCTCCAATTAAGAAAACAACTAATAGCACAGATTAAGTACGGGAATCCCCCCTCATTAAAACTTGATTTCCAGTGTTGAACAGGCATCCTATTGGATGTATGCAGAGTAATTTGGCTTTCTTGTCATAGCTCCAGATATGTACTGTAATTATGGGAGCCCGGGGTAACTATATGATGTTGCCACCCTGGAGCCTGTTTATGGGTCAACAGGAGAGGGCTGCTTAATGTTAATTGAACTACTCGGAATTATGTTTGGTGACTGGCTTTTGTGGGATTATCCAGGGGCCATGTGTATACCTTCATCTTTAATGGTCATTGAGGGTACTCTACTAATACACTATACCACCAATGGCCATCGAGAGCACTCTACTAATACACTATACAACCAATGACCATTGAGAGCACTCTACTAATACACTATACCACAAATGACCATTGAGAGCACTTTACTAATACACTATACAACCAATGACCATTGAGAGCACTTTACTAATACACTATGCCACCAATGACCATTGAGAGCACTTTACTAATACACTATGCCACCAATGACCATTGAGAGCACTCTACTAATACACTATACTACCAATGACCATTGAGAGCACTCTACTAATACACTATACCACCAATGGACATCGAGAGCACTCTAATAATACACTATACAACCAATGACCATTGAGAGCACTCTACTAGTACACTATACAACCAATGACTATTGAGAGCACTCTACTAATACACTATACAACCAATGACCATTGAGAGCACTTTACTAATACACTATACCACCAATGGACATCGAGAGCACTCTACTAATACACTATACAACCAATGACCATTGAGAGCACTTTACTAATACACTATACTACCAATGGACATCGAGAGCACTCTACTAATACACTATACTACCAATGGACATCGAGAGCACTCTACTAATACACTATACTACCAATGACTATTGAGAGCACTCTACTAATACACTATACAACCAATGGCCATTGAGAGCACTCTACTAATACACTATACTACCAATGGACATCGAGAGCACTCTACTTATACACTATACTACCAATGGACATCGAGAGCACTCTACTAATACACTATACTACCAATGACCATTGAGAGCACTCTACTAATACACTATACCACCAATGGACATCGAGAGCACTCTACTAATACACTATACAACCAATGGCCATTGAGAGCACTCTACTAATACACTATACTACCAATGGCCATTGGGCCACTCTACTAATACACTATACCACCAATGGCCATTGGGGCAATCTACTAATACACTATACCACCAATGACCATTGGGGCAATCTACTAATACACTATACCACCATTGGCCATTGGGGCAATCTACTAATACACTATACCACCATTGGCCATTGAGAGCACTTTACTTATACACTATATCACCATTGGCCATTGAGAGCAGTCTACTAATACACTATACCACCAATGGGCATTAAGCACTCTACTAATACACTATACAACCAATGACCATTGAGAGCACTCTACTAATACACTATACCACCAATGGCCATTGAGAGCACTCTACTAATACACTATACCACCAATGACCATTAAGAGCACTCTACTAATACACTATACCACCAATGGCCATTGAGAGCACTTTACTTATACACTATACCACCATTGGCCATTGAGAGCAGTCTACTAATACACTATACCACCATTGGCCATTTGGGGTACTCTACTAATACACTGTACCACCATTGGCCATTGGATACTGTACTAATACACTATACCACCAATGGCCATTGAGAGCAGTCTACTAATACACTGTACCACCATTGGTCATTTGGGGTACTCTACTAATACACTATACCACCAATGGCCATTAAGCAATCTACTAATACACTATACCACCAATGGCCCTTGAGTGCACTATACTAATACACTATACCACCAATGGCCATTAAGCATTCTACTAATGCACTATACCACCAATGGCCATTAAGCACTCTACTAATACACTATACCACCAATGGGCATTAAGCACTCTAATACACTATACCACCAATGGCCCTTGAGAGTACTATACTAATACACTATGCCACCAATGGCCATTGAGGGCACTTTACTAATACACTAATCTACCAATGTCCATTGAGGGCATTGAGTTGTGCTACCAAACTATGTCACCAATGGCCATTGAGGGCATTCTGCTACCAAACTATAGCACCGATGGCCATTGAGGGCATTCTGCTACCAAACTATGTCACCAATGGCCATTGAGGGCATTCTGCTACCAAACTATGGCACCGATGGCCATTGAGGGCATTCTGCTACCAAACTATGGCACAGATGGCCATTGAGGGCATTCTGCTACCAAACTATGGCACCAATGGCCATTGAGGGTATTCTGCTACCAAACTATGGCACCGATGGCCATTGAGGGCATTCTGCTACCAAACTATGGCACCGATGGCCATTGAGGGCATTCTGCTACCAAACTATGGCACCAATGGCCATTGAGGGCATTCTGCTACCAAACTCTGGCACCGATGGCCATTGAGGGCATTCTGCTACCAAACTATGGCACCAATGGCCATTGAGGGCATTCTGCTACCAAACTATGTCACCAATGGCCATTGAGGGCATTCTGCTACCAAACTATGGCACCAATGGCCATTGAGGGCATTCTGCTACCAAACTATGGCACCGATGGCCATTGAGGGCATTCTGCTACCAAACTATGGCACCGATGACCATTGAGGGCATTCTGCTTCCAAACTATGGCACCAATGTCCATTGAGGACACTCCACTACCAAACTATGGCACCAATGGCCATTCTGTTACCAAACTATGGCATCAATGGTCTTTGAGGGCACTCTACTAATACACTATACCACCAATGGCCATTGAGAGCACTATACTAATACACTATACCACCAATGGCCATTGAGAGCACTCTACTAATACACTATACCACCAATGGCCATTGAGAGCACTATACTAATACACTATACCACCAATGGCCATTGAGAGCACTCTACTAATACACTATACCACCAATGGCCATTGAGAGCACTATACTAATACACTATACCACCAATGGCCATTGAGAGCACTTTATTAATACACTATACCACCAATGGCCATTGAGAGCACTTTATTAATACACTATACCACCAATGTTCATTAAGGGCATTCTGCTACCAAACTATGGCACAATGGCCATTGAGGATATTGTGCTACCAAACTATGGGACCAATGGCCATTGAGGGCACTCTACTACGAAATTATGGCACCAATGGCCATTGAGGGCATTCTGCTACTAAACTATGGCACCAATGGCCATTGAGGGCATTCCGCTACCAAATTATGGCACCAATGGCCATTGAGGGCATTCTGATACCAAGCTATGGCATCAATGGTCATTGAGGGCATTCTGCTACCAAACTATGGGACCAATGGCTATTGAGGGCACTCTACTACCAAACTATGGCATTAATGGCATTGAGGGCATTCTACTACCAAATTATGGCACCAATGGCCATTGAGGGCATTCCACTACCAAATTATGGCATCAATGGTCATTGAGGGCATTCTGCTACCAAACTATGGGACCAATGGCCATTGAGGGCACTCTACTACCAAACTATGGCATTAATGGCCATTGAGGGCACAAAGCAACTACACAATTATATCACTGAACAGTTCAAATGGGATTTCAGTTTTCACTCTATAATACTGTAAAATACTTTATTTTCGCTGGAATTAATATTCGCTGAAATGACTTTTTATGTGTGTTATATGGAATTCATTTTCACTGATTTTTGGAGAGTTGAGTGTAAAAGATAGGAAAAAAGGTATATTCGTCTGATTTTATTTTCACTGAAATTTAATTCCAAGCGAAAATAAAGTATTCCACAGTAAATGCAGAATATTAAGAAGGGGACATGAGAACAAGCACACAGAGAACATAATCTTTTCATTGAATGGAGGTGGGGTATCCAAGTTATTATGAATTACTGGGGAAAAATCACACTATCGTGTTTTTTTGAAAAAGAGATCACGTTTGTTGTGACCAAGCTTTAATTAAATTAATTGTTGGACTAATCATGTAATTTCACCTGAAACAAGTCAAGTTGCAGTTTTGACCAAACTGCACCTAATCGAAGATTAAAGGTATATTTAAATTTTATAAAAACCATTCATATAATTAAACAATGTAATGTTTTGCCATCTTTACTATTGGATAAGTATCTCACATGATTTTAACGTGGCTTGCCAACTGAACTTTTGACATTAAAAGAAAAACAATGAATATACACACAGGTCAGTCAAATAATACTATACTGTGCAATACTTTATTTTCGCTGGAATTAATTTGCGCTGAAAAGGCTTTTGGGGCGTTTTGTATGGAATTTATTTTCACTGATTTCTGATGAGTTTAATATGAAATATAGGAAAAAAAGTATATTCGCTGGGTTTTATTTTCATGCAATCATCCCTTCAGCGAAAATAAATTCCAAGCCAAAATAAAGTATTCTACAGTATTTCAGGCCAGAAGTTTCATATTATGACTGCTTAAAATTGTCATACTCAACTGGTTTAAATGTTTTGTACTGTAACAGGAATACTTTGAATATTCAAATATAAATTTGCATTTATTTCTCTTGCTGCATAGACGATTGTCAGTTATTGGAACATGGCACAAAACAACATTTATCCTACCACTAGAGGGCAGTATAACTTTTTACATCAAGAAATCAAAATGTCTTTTAATCCACATTGTCAGTTCAGTGTCAATACATCGAGTTTTTACAAAAAAAAAATGTGACAATTGTTCTTAAAAATATACCAAATATAGGCAATCTATGATACAAAACACAAACTGTAAATTTAGAACAGAGTTGAACTTTTCAGTATAATTTTTCATTTATCATCACAACTTGCATGTTACATGTATCTGAAAGATGCACACTGTAATTAATTAATTCATTGTTAATTTAACCAATTCGCGGGGGCAGACATCTTTACCGTATGGCAACCATCACTGTGAAAACAAAGGTCGGAAACTCTCAGGAAACAGTACTTTGGGATAGTTGTTGAGACTCCTCTGAACAGTGTAACAAGATTACCCCTGTGTGTGTAACACATAAATTCTGTTGTTCAGGATTACTTCAAAGTTGAGTTTCTATTGTTTTCTCAAATTTTCAGAAGTTAATTTATGTTTGTAATTTGTGATGAAAAGATGAAGAGGGATTGTGTTATTAAACATTAATTCAGTCTCCAATATTAGAAGAAATTATTTATTATCGGTACTTTGGGACACAAAATTTTGAGGTCAGCATTTGTGATGTTAAAACAAATTAAATTTGAACTTTCAGGACATAATCACAATCCCTGAAAAATGTAACAACCACAGACTTGATTTCCTAGTTATTTATGAATACACTGAATCAAAACAAGCAAGCCCCCTAACTTTGCTCATCGTTACAAATGACTTGTAAATGTGTTTTTAAGCTCAATCTGCAATAATTCAGATTCAGATGTCCTTTGTATTCTGCATAATTTTGTAACATGTTGCTAGGCCAACCAATAATGTGTAATTTTGTCTTGTCCACTTGCACATGCAACAAAATTTCCACTCACAACATTACATCTATGTCAGTCGTTTCTTTCTCGCAGTCTCGCATTTTGAAGTGGGTGTCTGTCTACCCTGTGTCTACCATATATTCAGTGATTCAACGAGTCCAAGAAATTACCAAGATCGTACTCGTTTTCATACTGTGAACCATCCCATAGTTCCTCCAGTTCATCCATCACTGAATGCATTCCAGCCTTTCCTTCTCCTTGCTTCCTCTCCGTCTTTGCAGTTTTTGTTGTGCTGGCGTCAACAGTAAACAATTCAAGCAGTTGGTCAGTACCCATCGACTGAAGGCTGCTGTTTTCTTGGCTGATCACTGTATTCACGATGTTCAACTTGAATTTCTGTAACCTATGGTAACAAAAACATGGCACAGTCCCTGTTAGTTAACAAATTTAAATATATAGTTTTGTTAATAGTAATATAGTCGAAATATAAACATGTCAGGAATATGATTACGATTTTTTAACATTAAAATGATTGACATCTTTTTTTGATTGTCAAATGAGTACTTGTCCATATTGAGAGATATTGCTCTGGAACAGCATTAATTAAAACAAAATTGGCCATTTTGAATACATCTATATATCTATAACATAATGTATAATGACTATTTGCATGTCAGAGATATGGCTCTATAAACGCATTCATTAAAACAAAATGGCTGCCAGTCAGCCATTTTGAATCTGATCTGAAAAATAAAATGGCATGCATCAGGGGCCCATAATGTCTAATGTACCGTATGTACAAGTTTGAACAAAATCAATCCATAAATGCTACAAATGCTTGATTTTTGATGATTTTTTAGCACAAAAATGGCCACCGCTTGGCCATTTTGAATCAGATAGTCAAACCAACATATCTGTATATCTATGTCATGATGTATAATGAATATTTAAAATTTGAACATAATCAGTGAAGGTACGGCAGAGATATGGCACTACAACTGCACCAGTTGGCCATTTTAAATCCGATCTGAAAAATAAAATGACATGCATCAGGAACCCATAATGTCTAATGTATGTACCAAGTTTGAAAAAAATCCATCGATAAATGCTTGATTGTTGATGATTTATTAACACAAAAATGATGTATGTGTGAAGTTTGAATGTAATTGGTCCAGGCATATAGAAATATAGGTCCGAATGCACGTACACACAGACGCACAGAGGTCAATTCATAAGTCTTCGTTTTTCGGACTGCATCCAAACAGAAGCAGTCACTATGTGAGGGAAGTATAGCATACATAGTAGGGAGAGAAAATTTTGTCACAAATGGTAAAACTAATGTGGAAGTTATTCATAATTCATCTGTATTTCAATATTTTATTGATTTCTGCAACACATGGCAATAAAAGTTATTGACAAACCACATGAGGGCAGTAGACAATTCAAGACAATAATAGAAATGGATTTGTTGTTATGTAATGTAAACTAAATGTTAATGCTACAAAGTTATCAGCAGAATTTACAGACATCTCAATTAATCTGAAGTTCTCAAATTGGTGAAATAGTTACTACTGATTGGCTGCACAAACGAGTTCAAAGGTTATTTATTCAGCTTCATCATTGTTAATGATTGAAACAACAAATCTTTAGTTCATTGACTCAATGTTTCAAAAGAAAACCTGGATGACTGTGATAACAAAGTTCTATGGAAACAAGTGTACATCATTTCTTACCCCATTATCTTTTCTTCCAAAGTGCCTCTCGTAATCAGTCGGTAGACGTTTACCACTTTTTTCTGGCCAATTCTGTGTGCTCTGTCCATGGCCTGGAAAAAAAACATGAATATTTTGAATAATTCATCTGATGTACAAGGAAAACATAATTATCTATCTTCACATGACAAGCTTAGCATGTTTTTAATCCCTGTTGGATAACGGTTCCCTGAGTGTGTTCGTTCATACTTGTACCTGCACCTGTATCTCTGACATATCAGATCTGACCATCACACACACCATGCATTACATATGCACATGTATCTATTTCAGGAAATAATTCAAGACGGTCGATTAGTGGCCATTTTAAAACTGAAATCAGGTAAAAACTCAACTGTTTCTACCATTTTGGAACCATATCTTGGTCGTCCATTGACAGATTTCTTTCAAACTCAGTGCGAACTTTGAACATGATGGGTCCTTGAAACACATCAGATTGTTTTTCAGATCTAATTCAAAACTGTGATTTAGTAGCCATTTTGTTTTAGCAGATGCTGTTCCAGAGCCATATCTCACATGGTTTGAGAAACTTGACACTATGTCATACACATATTTGTACAAAGATGGTCAAAATCAAGCAAGTGTGTGGATAGATTTAATGCCAATTTGGTGAATACACTGAACATCCAGATCTTGATGTGCATCTTTTTGTTTTGCAATTGGATTCAAGATGGCCGACTGGAGACCATTTTGTTTTTAAAAATGCTGTTCTGGAGCCAGAACACCTTGACTGATTGTACACATACATGTACATAACATATAATGACATCAAAATGTTGAATTATTTTGGTTTTGCTTACAATTGAACAATAGGGTTTAGATCAATGACAAATGACGAACCTAAATTGCAGATAATTTTAATAGTTTTCAATTTAAAATGGCCACCAGAATGCTATGGAGAAATCACATTGTTTCCATAGAAACATGCATAATCATACTACTGCTAGAGGTTCTGTACTATTCCAGCATCATACCACAATAGGTGTCTTAGACACACTGACCTGTAAGTCCCTCATAGGATTCCAATCATGCTCAACAAAGATGACAGTATCTGCTCCAGTTAAATTCAAACCCAAACCACCTACATGTGTAGTAAGTAACAGCATGTCTATAGAGGGATCATTGTTAAATCTGTAAGTAAAGGCACAGTAGTTAAATTGCATTCAATGATTTGTCAATATAAGAAATACACCTAGAAAAATAGAACTTGCACAGATGAAAATTACTTATCCACATTGATAGCTCCACACAATTTTATTAATAATGTGAAATACTTTATTTTCGCTGGAATTAATTTTCGCTGAAAAGGCTTTTTGCGTGTTTTGTATGGAATTTATTTTCACTGATTTTTGATGAGTTTAATGTGAAATGTAGGAAAAAAAGTATATTCGCTGGATTTTATTTTCACAAAATCATTCCTTCAGCGAAAATAGCAAAAATAAATTCCAAGCGAAAATAAAGTATTCTACAGTATGTCTTTTTATTTTTGAAAAAAACAAAAAAAAACACCAAATTATTCACTTATTGAATCAGATAATGAATGACCCTTTCTGGCAATGGTGAGGAATCATTCAAAAATTTATAATCCCCATAGCAACCAAATAAATCTCTGACCAATTGGTACTTGTTTGCAAGGGCAACTTTTCCTGGAAATTTCATAAAAATCTATTTATACATTTATACCAAGTATACCATTTATACCCTGGTAAATGAAAAATCATTCTCAAAATCATTTTCATGGCAAAAGAATCCATACTAGAATATCAAGAATAAAAACTATCTACCTGTGTACAATCTCATGTCGGTTACCGGCTGGCACAGTTCCATCAAGGCGAAGATAAGTCACATCAGGCAGATGGGATCTGAAAATTGGAAATCAAAAATTGTTAAAATGAACGGTTTTCAAATCCTTACCCCTTATTTTTCCCATATACTAAGATTTTCTTTATTAGAATCACATGCATTTAAAATAACTGAGGTGTCTATACTAAAAATTTAATGATATAATAAATGTATGTATATTATGGTTGGAAAAACACAACTGGGTAGCAAAACCCTTCTTGTTCTGCAATAATAATGCAAATCATTTTATATCTATGTGCAATGTGCAAGAGAAAAATTTTATCAGGGTAAAATCACAAAAGGTTTTTCAGACATAAAATCACTGAGATTTGAATAGGGAAATTTAGTTTTTTAATAAACACCATTGAACTATCAAATAACAATGGTTACTTACTGGAGTAAATCTTTTTCTACAATATCCAGCATGCTCTTGAGTTGACAGAATAACAGTACCCTGTGCTGCCCAACAACAGACTCTGTTATCTCATCCTGCTGTCCTGTTAAATTACTCACACCAATACCACAGTCTTGTAAAAGTTGTCTGTGTACAAAGAAAGAACAAATTCAGTTTATAATTTACCATTAAAAATTATTAAACGCCAGTCCACGTGCCACATAATATTTAATATAGGTCTCATACCGCACACACAACGTATGCAAATTAGAATGCCCACTGCCCGCTTCACCACTGTACTTTTTTAGTATCCAAGGCTCTACCAGTGTTATCCCAGCTTGATGACCAAAAGCCTATTTGATTTCTTTTACTAGCATGTATAATTTGTGTGTCCAAAGAGTAAATTATGGATATTGAAGTTGACATTGGTGAAAGTTGTGGGTCAGGAGATGGCATAGCATGACTCTGGTAAGGATTGTGGGTAAGGAGATGGCATACCATGACTCTGGTAAGAGTTGGGTAAAAAGATAGCATAGCATGACTCTGGTAAAGATTGTGGGTAAGGAGATGGCATACCATGACTCTGGTAGGAATTGTGGGTAAAAGAATAGCATACCATGACTCAGGTAAGAATTGAAACTAGGTTGCTTGTCTGATCTAAATATGCAATAAAATGACTTACTTGAGAGCGGTCAGTTTGGGTGCATGTTGTATATTATGTAACGATGACTTCTGTTCAGTTAACGTTTGATGTACGCTCTCATAAAGTGGATGATTGGGTGTAAGTACCAATAATGGATGATCACACACTTTACGAAGATATTGCAGCGCCTGCAATTAATTGAAGACAAAGAATTTATGAACTGGTCCCCGATAAGTCCAGAAGAATAAACCATATGCACGACCTGCAAAAGGTCACACATCCTGGTAATTATGGGGTAAAAACACACTACCAATGATAATCTCTCAATTATTTCCTCCCAAAAGTTAAAAAATAGTAAAATAAGGTAAAAATTGATAATACCCTCAAAAAGTATCGGGATATATGACCTTTAAGAACTATTTCTCTGACATGTTACGCATCATTTTTGCAAATTTTGACGATATTAATTTCAGCTGAGCATGGTCAAACACAGTGGTCCCTGGTTCAGACAGCACATAATAAGTACATAGCGTAGTCAAATAGTTAATGAGAACATAAATATGTAAAGACACCCACCTGGAATACATGTGAGCTTCCTTTGGTTTTACTTGCCTCTTCTGGTTTGTCGCTGGATATGGAATGTTCAACTCCCTTTTTGGCACGAGATTTTGCAAAGTCCTCGTACAACTGCACCTGCAATACGATATTAATGAAAAATCAAGGGTTTCGTTGAGAGATACTTACTATACTGTCTACTAGGCTTGATCAACCAGCTAATAAGATAACATAAAAATAATTTGCATAATTCACGCCACATGACTATTTCCAAGCAATCATTAACTAGCAGCGATATGAGAACCAACATTTAGCAATGTTCCCAATTAAATAAAGGATGTAGGAAAGGTTTTCAGGAAGTAAAATTCACACTACTGTGGAATACTTTATTTTCACTGGAATTAATTTTCGCTGAAAAGCTTTTTGGGCGTTTTGTGGGGAATTTATTTTCACTGATTTTTGATGAGTTTAATGTGAAATATAGGAAAAAAAGTATATTCGCTGGATTTTATTTTCACGGAAACATCCCTTCAGCGAAAATAGCAAAAATAAATTCCAAGCGAAAATAAAGTATTCTACAGTAAATTATTTTCACAGAAGAATTATTTTCAACCATATCAAACTTTGTATTTTTTGAAAAGCTCAGAATTCACCCTTATTAAAAATCCATATTATGTTAGATATGTGGTCATGTGACGAAGTAAATAAATCCTTTATTAAAGATTTAAATGAAGACTGAAGATATTGAAAGAGATACCACAATTTTGTTATTGAAAAATGTAGATTAAAACATGAGACACAACAGTCAAAAATCACTATGACTTATGTTCATATATATACCGTACTCGACCGCGTTAGCGCCCAGGGGCCTCAACTCAGAAAATCATGATTTTTTAGGGGTGGGCGCTTACCCGAGCACCCCCCTCGAAAAAGATTGCAAATGAAAAATTTGATTCATCAAGTAACAGATTATGTCTTTGAGGGAAATCAAATTACGAAATTAGTTGAGTCGTCATTGATTTTCACAATGAAGAAACAGAAATGATCACAAAAAATATGCACATTTTATTACAATATTAATTACGTACCACCAGAATTTACGAAATTAAAAACATTTGAGTCTGTTGGGACACAGTCAAAGTCAAAATTGTCATATTATCTCCACTGACGAAGGTGTTGGACCGTACGCAAACTTTCATCACAAATCACCTTCCGCCATGATGCATTTGCAGATTTCACCTGCAGTGGCATCCTTTGACCTAATGGGTCAAGTTGATTATTAACCAATCACAATGCTGTGTTGTACTGACGCAATTCTTCGGAAATTCCCGAAGACTTTCCGGTAACGCAATGCGGAAGTGAATTATCGATGTCGAAGTACGATCTGCTGGAATTGATTTCAGTGAATAAACGACATAGTTTTTCCAAAAAACTAGTAACTAGCCATTTTTGAGAGGTAAACTGAATATGGCATGAAATATTTACCGCATTTTACTTGTATTAACAGGTCATTGTCGAAGCGTAGTTTACGCACGGTTACCGTGTTCTACGCATTCACAACATGTTCACAACGGTCGATATCCACGCTGTATCATATAAAAACGATTACCAAGATTCGTTACGCAAGACCAAGTTTTAAATTAGTTGCATTTTGAAGGGGTGGGCGCTTTGCCGAATGTGACCCCGAATATAAAAATTGTGCAAAAGTGGGGGGTGGGCGCTTGCCCGGGCATGGGCGCTAACGCGGTCGAGTACGGTATATACATTGACAATCTCTGAAATAAGTGAAAAGAACTGATAAGTGCCTGCTGAGTACCTAGTACTCATTTGATTAATTGTTTTGATGTCAGAATTAAAACAAATATATACACTAACTAGAGGTTATAAGCGACAAACAAGAGTATTCTGTAGCGAATATCAGACCTCTCTGAGGAAAATTAGCATATTTGATGGAAGATAATAGCCTAGTGTAAGCAGTTACCTGTAGAGGGCTGAGATCACAGTAATAATCTTGTATAATTTTAGGAGGCAAGTCATCCAGGACGTCTTCTTTTAATCTTCGTAATAAGAAAGGTAAAACCTGCCGATGTAAGGCTTCCATGGCCAAGGCACCCGCTTCTTGCTCTTGTGAAGAGCTCTTTGCATCTCGACTTTGTAATATTGGTTTGGCAAACCTGGCTGCGAACTGCTTCTCCGTACCAAGGAAGCCAGGCATCAGGAAGTCAAACAATGACCAAAGTTCAAGTACATTATTCTGGAGCAGAGAAAAGTATTATTGAGTTAATCATTATTTACGATGCATATTTAGGATGATGATGCTCACAGTTCAACAAAAGTATATATATGTATGTAATTGCATTATCGGTACATAGCTTCTCAAGTTCCGGGTAAGAGCCCATGCCCATGCCCATCTCCCACTTTTGATACAATGAAAAAATTGAGGTCATGTCCTGGCATACGTCCAGGGGGCCTTTACTACACTTGTAATAAAAAATTACAAAAACCTATTTTATTTTTTTTGCAGTCTGTTGTGATTCTGATAAAAATTGTTAATTGCGGAAAATGAGGGGAGAACGCAAAAAGCTGTGACAACAAAATAGGTAATTTCGTGTTCTGCATTCAGTGCGTTCACCGCTTTTTACGTAATTTACATTCAGCAAGTCTACAAAAATGTATATTAAAGCAGAAACGGTAGTTCCCTTTTTGAAATATGTTGTGGCCCTGAAAAGGGCCGGCTGTTTGATTTGTGCTTCCTTAGAAACGATTCAAGCAAATCTTACAGTATATGGAGAGCCACGAAGCAAGTGTCACACTTGTTCAGTTTTGGCATCAAGTATTAATGTAGCAATCCGTACCAGGAAAAGTGGTTGAAATCACGCTGTTTTGGCTTCATAAAATATTTGGTGGTAGCTTGCAAATCCATAAATCCATAAGCAATACATTATTTTTTTACTTCTAATGTTGCATATTGTTAATTTATTTCTGTTGCAAGTTTTTATTTGCTGTTCTATCCCCTGTTGCTGTTTGATCAGCGTGTTGTCAATTTTCGCGAATTTTCATTTTTGTTAAAGGGGATGTCCGGGTATAGGCCCAGCTCCTATTTTTTCCATGTTCAGGACCCTGGGCTCTTATCCGGATAAATACGGTATGTAAAATTTGAACATGAATGCAACATTGGTTTTACTTCAAGCAGAATAAAAATGATAAGCTTTTCTTTGACATAAAATTATGATTACAATGTCATGGTCAACAATGGACTTATGGAGTACATGACTACATTGTATTTATAATTATCTGTGAAAATACTGGATGAGTGAATTAGAATGATACTGTACAGTGCCTAATGATTTTTATTTTCACTTATTTTAATATATACTCCAGAATTTCAGTCAGTCAGTTGAAAAATCTTCAAGAAATTACATTACACGGACGGACGAACGGACGGACGGACGGACAGACAGACAGACAGACAGAGACAGACAGAGACAGACAGACAGACAGACAGACAGACAGACAGACAGACAGACAGACAGACAGAGACAGACAGACAGAGACAGACAGACAGACAGACAGACAGACAGACGTAGCTCAAATTACGTGAACTTTCTTTACCTGGATGGGTGTTCCTGATAAAATGACTCTATGATTTGCATTGAGTTGTTTCACAGCCTTGGATAACTTGGTTTTTCCATTTTTTATTATATGACCTTCATCAAGAATGCAGTAATTCCAATCAATGCCTCTGGTAAAATGAAAGAGTCATGAAAAAAAATAATATCACAAGACCATATAAAGAGCATTGGAGCGCCACCTTGTGGTCAGTTATATACTTCTTTTGTTTTTCACATGCTCTAAGAATTAACAATTTGCTGCAGACAGTAATTTGACAAATTATGTTTGTCTTCAGATGTTGATAAAAATTCACAAAATCTGTGATCAATATCCTGTATATTTGGTTCAAAATTGATGTTTATTTTAGAGAAAATTATACAAAATAGGAAAGATTTGTACCACCTTTTGTGAATGTGTGTACTTACTTGAAAAAGTCAATATCATTTCTCACTATGTCATATGATGCCACAACTAGATTATGTTTCTTTACCTTGTTTCGAAGTCTGTTAGAATAAATGAATGAATAAATAAATAAATAACTGAAAACGAGAAATTGTCCCAAAGCTCAGCCAAAGCCCAGATAATACCCAGTTGAAGCTAACGTAAAGTCCAGCTAAAGCCCAGCTAATACCCAACTAAAGCCCAGCTAATACTCAACTAAAGACCAGCTAATACTCAACTAAAGCCCAGCTAATACTCAACTAAAGCCCAGCTAATACCCAACTAAAGCCCAGCTAATACCCAACTAAAGCCCAGCTAATACCCAACTAAAGTCCAGCTAATACCCAACTAAAGCCCAGCTAATACCCAACTAAAGCCCAGCTAATACCCAACTAAAGCCCAGCTAATAACCAAATAAAGCTCAGCTAGTACACAGCTGAAGCCCAGCTAATACCCAACTAAAGCCCAGCTAAAGCTCAGCTACTACACAGCTGAAGCCCAGCTAATACCAAGCCAAAGCCCAGCTAATGACCAGCCAAAACCCAGCTAATACCCAAATAAAGCCCAGCCAAAACCCAGCTAATACCCAAATAAAGCCCAGCTAAAGCTCAGCAAATATCCAGCTGAAGCCCAACTAATACCCAGCCAAATCTTAGCTAATACCCAACTAATACCTAGCTAAAGCTCAGCTACTATGCAGCTGAAACCCAACTAATACCCAGACAAATCTTAGCTAACACCCAACTAATACCAAGTCAATATCCAGCTAAACAATGAACCAAGTGAAAATCATCTTGCCTTTACCTTGTTCTCTCTGATGGCGGTCCTGTGTAATGTAAAGGATTGAGGTAAATAGGAGAAACAAACTTGTCAATTTCGTAGACCCAGTGTCCTGTTAACGTTGGTGGACATATAACAAGTGATGGCAGCGGTGCACAGTCTGCATCATGTGATTTCTGATGGAAATAAATTGGCAAATCAGTTAGAGAATTCTGGTTTCAGTCAGTAGAATGTTAAGTATAATGTTTTTTATTACTGATGATTCAACGGAAGCTTCAATTGCCCAGTCAAAAACAATTTTGTCTCTTGGTGATTGAAAGGCTACTGATACATGGTGGAGACTCGTGTATAAATAAGTTAAATTTTTCAAAAATATTCACTATTTTATGTTTATACCTGTATTTGTTGAAGGCAGAAAACATTCTAAGGTCAATCCCTAAATTATAGTACAATTAAATCCATGTTAGTGAC